TTTATCTGTCTGGTCTCTGCTCCAATCTACTGTCGTTGAAGGTACAAGAGACAGTGACTGCGGGTCAAAGCAAACGGAAAATTCTTGGACCTATTTATTTCCGACCTCCATTAGAGTTTGGAGCTTATTATTTTTGGCCCTTAAGATCTAACATTCCTTAAATATTATATCTTTTTACAATTTTTTGCTCACTATAGATTGAAACATCTGGAGGTGTATTTTTCTCCTCTTATCTTAATATATCTTCTTTTTCTTTTTTCTTTTTTTAAGAAAAGAGATAGTAACTGTGGGGAAGATGCCGAAGATATGACTTTGGCTAAATCTTGGAACCTAGATCTTGACTATGTCTTCTTATGTCTACTTTCAGCCTAAACAAGGATCCTCAAATACACTTGGAGATGATTAGGTTTCGTGATGAATCTTGGGAAAGGCTCAAGAACTCCTGGTTTAATGGAGTGTTCATCCCTACAAATGGAATCAATCCTTTGAAACGAGTGGCTTCTATGTCTACACTTGAGTGGCATATCTCTATCGATGCTCTCTATTGATGAGTGGCTGTATACAAATTTCACCCAAATAAATCAATGAATTAAACTACAAATGTTGGAAGCTTTGGTTAAGGCATAGCAATGCAGAAGCATGCCGAATTTGTGGTTGGAAACTTGGGCAAAGCACAGCATAGAAGAAAGATCTTTTCCTACAATACTACTCTAAGAATAAAACTTCTTTTCCAACTTGATAGGATTTTCCTAACAGATGACTGGGATTTTGTAGTTACAACCTCTATAAGCTGCCTTGATCCTCCTACTTATTTTTATACCGCGATTCCTAAGATGTAGCAGTCAACCCTGTGCCATTAGCCTATAATAGGAGGGTTTTAGAACTACTTCTTTGCGCAGCAGTCAACTTCTCAGCACCGTTTCTTTCTTCACCTTGAGGGGCAAGGTTAGATGAATGAAATTGGAACAGTTTCTTCCTGTTATCTATCTGTGTTTCCTCTCTCTGTCTTTATCTCCCATCTGTTATTTCTTTTCCTAATAACCAAAAAAGAAATAAAAGAAAGAAGAAAAGCAATACCCAGAATCCATCTTCATGTGATGGGCATTGAAGAAGAAAACGGTGGACGGGATCAAAGTGATATCGAAATACTTGACGTAAACCTGAATGTCCTCTGCGTCTATATCAACTAATGCCACAGCGCCGAACTTTGATATCTCCCTCGCTGATTTTGCAAGCTGAAATTTGAACCACATTGGTCAGTTGATTCGATAATGGTAATTGAAAAGGAAAACTGATTGAAGAGGATAGAAAAGGGATAGTACAATGTCGTCGAGCTGGAGACAGACGGAGTCGGTGGCACGGCCGAAGCGCAGGACGACCACCTTGTCGATGGTGTCTCTGATGACGGTGTCGATTTCCTTCTTCGTCGTCAGCGTCTTTAGCACGCAACTCATCTCGCCTCCTCTCTCTCCCCAAAATTCAATTTGACGAAATTATTATCTGCCCTTCGGGGTTTACTCGAGAAACGACGTCGTTTGACTCCGAACCCAAGTTCTGCCACGTGTCGAGGAATTGTTACTTAAACGAATTACCGTCAAGCAAAAACGAAACGATGAATCCCCGCGTTCGGGTCCAGCCTTGTTTTTACGTTGTCAGTATGTTATAATGTTGTTCGTGCTTGAAAATTAATTACTTTTTTATAAAAGCCATTGAATTATTTAGTTTTTCTATAAAAACCTCCACAAATTCACGTCTTTCCTACCCATCTCCTACATCCCAGCCAATTCAATTAATCTTGCTATCTTTCTTGTAAGACATCAGATACAGAGAGGAAATAGTTTCTCCACTTTTATCCCTCTGTAAATCTTTACCTTTGTTTCTTCTTCTTGTATTAATTTAATTTGTTTTTATTTTGATTTATTTTCATCTGGAGTGATCTACGTTGGTTTGATTTGGGTGCTTTCATTGATTTCATGCCTGAGATATGTATAATTATCATCAATTTCCCCAGATAAAGAGAGAATTGGCAAGATCGGACTTGGCCTAGGTTTTGCTTAGGGTTTCCTTGAATTAGGTTGAAGGGATTGGTATATTCTTTGGATTTTATAGGGGTTTTATCTGATTTGTATCGCTAAAAACGTATCTGACTTCAATTGTACGAAGATGCAATTTTGGAATCTTTTGGCACCCATCTTAGGCCAATACCTGTGACATGGAGGATATGTGTATATATGTTAAATAGACAAGTTGTTAGTTTTTCTGAAGTTTTTCCATGCTGATCCTAAAATGACGATTAATTTTATTTCTTAGGACTTTTTGGTCCATGCTGAAACTTGTTAGGTATGTTGAGCAAGTATGATCCTCTTTCTTGTTTTGGAGGAGAATTTTCTGATCATATATAACTAAATTTGTTTCTTAGTCACTAATACCTGTCGAATTAAGTTCAGTTTATGTACTGCGTTGGTTTTTTCCCCTCTATTTGCATTTTTGTGAAGATTTAGAATTTGTCTATGTGATTACCTTGGTGATAATGGATTGATCATTAATTATAAATGAGCTCCTTTCTCTTTGTTTTTGAGATTTGATAGATAATCCTTATCAGGTGTTCAGCTTTCTGGTTGATCAATTGGATATGATATAAAACTGTTTTCTCATATTATTAGTTGACATTTAACTGCCTTGAGGAACCCTTTTATGCTAAGCAGCTTTATTCACTTAGAATGGTGTTGATCTCCATTTTCTTACACATGGCATTGGGTACTATTTTCTCTTTATTTCTTTATTCTTATGATAAGTGGTTGAGTGCTTCATGTTGAGCCATCTATGCTTGAGATATTTGGATTTTAGATCATCTTTGTGTGGCATTGACCTCTGTTCTTTCATATGACTGCAGGTTTTAGGACAAATTGCCGACCTGGAAGTCCAAGACATAGTTTTTTGGTTATTTATTCAAGGCTGATCTCGTTTGACTTTTCAAGGATTATTCATTTCTACATTATTTCTTTCTTGCATTGGAGCATTGCATAAGTCTTTGACTCGTCGTCTTTCTTGTAAAGTCAAATAAAGGTGTTATAGCTTCAACTGGTAACAAGTAGCGATTCAGAGGGCTGCAGTAGGATACATTTAGAGTTCCACTAACTTGGTAAGTGTGTTCAGTTGACTGTCTTTTTTTCCCACTGTAAGTTATACCCTTCACCTCGTGCCTTATTTTCTGTTTATGCAAAAGCATAATATTTCATTGTTGTTTCCTGCTCAGTTAATTCATTGTTTTTTTAAACACCCTCCCTGACTTGGTAATTCTTGTTATTTTATTTTTCTGCTCGATCTAGTTGCCTCTATTTTGATCTTTGATAGGTTTTTTTGAAGAAGATTTGGTGGAAAGATAGTTGAAATGTAATGGAGTCGACTTTGTTGCTTAGGATTTACATTTAGGTAGAAGGTACGCGAACTTGGTCCATGGGATTGTGCACTCCATATGGTTTCTCAGTGATATATAAGTTATTGGTTGTGAACTATGGGTAGTTGTCTTCGTTCTAATCAATGCATTTTTTTTCATATCATTTCCTGATCTTATGAGGTTTGTTTGTCAATTAAGTTGAGCTGCCTGGTAATGAGTTCTTGATTTTAGCTCTGGAAGTTATGGCTATGTCCCCATTTCTAATCATTATTGTTATTAAAGAAGGTTGGGATATGAACTCAGGATGTGAGGAAATGAAACCGTCAGAAGTAAAATTGTTTCATGTAGAATGCATCGATCTCAGAGAAGAAAAGGTTACGATGAATCAGTTATTGGTAATATGTTGGGATTAATAGTCCTATCATCTTCTCATGTAATATGATATGCCTGATCAGTAAATTACATGCGTATGGTCGTGGTGTTATGGGCAGTGGTACATGCAAGAGAGTGGTTTTCTTATTCCTTGCCTCTTTTTAGTCTAGAAGCTCCTGACCAGTGTCCTATCTAAACTGATTGATTTGGGTTTTGATATTTGAACGTCAACTAGTGATTTTAATTGGTTCTGGATCTATCTTCCTCCCATGCCTCAAACAAGCATTTTGAAATGAAGAACTATAGTTGAAAGATTCTTTTTGCTGTCCAATCTTTTATTTTTATGCCAGTATCTTGCATAAGTGTGAAGACGAAAGTATATTCTACTAAGATATTGTGGAACTAAAATGTAAATCAATTATCATCTGGATGGTGGTAGTATTCTTATTGGTTCTTTTGGTTATTTTTGGTACCCCTGAAATCATGGGTCTGCATAATCAATGTGATCTCACTAGTTATGGTGAATTTGGTCAAAATAGTTAGTTTTGACAGTGTGTAGTGAACAGATTCATTGGAAGACTTAATTAGTTCAGTTGTTTGGGTGTAGATATAAGCGGAGGCCATGCCTCCACTAATATTATCGTGATATATTTTATCTTTCCCTGGTCATCATTGGGAAGCCTATTTTTTTGCCGTTATCTGGTTGCAAGATAACTGAAGGAAAGGAGAATAAATTAACAGTTTAATAATCTCTTGTTCTCCTTTGTTTCGTTTATGATCTAACAAGTAATAAGATCTTGGCGCTAAGCAAAAGACAGCCTTTTGAGTAAAAGAGCACAGGGGATTGTAAACTATTACAACCTCTCTAGATTAGTAATCAAATCTATGCAATCCATCTTCTTGTTAAATTGAGCAATTTCTAATTGTTTGGAAGTGAACAACTTAAGTTTTATGTTTATTTAGCCAAAAAGCATTACAAAGAAATAGCTGCATGTAGTAAAATTTGCAAATGTGAATAGGATAAATAACTTCTGTAAATGCAGTAAAAATGGTGTCCCTTTTACAATCTGCTCTGTCAATTTTTCTTTTCTTCTTGTGAGGGTAATATGAATCTTAGTCGCTCTTTTTCTGCTTCTTTCCATCATTATTTTCGTACCCTAAGCTATGTTTGGACCCTTTCATTCCAAACAAGAGGGGTTAGTTGAATATCAGATTCTGGTTGTGATAAAATTTGGTCTGGATACCATAGGATCCTGTCTACATTGTCAGGTAACATGTGAATGGCTGGACACAACTTTATTTTTCTCCCAAATGAACCAAGTATTGAACGTCAAGATTCTCATATATCTAACATATGTGTTAAGTATAATTAATTGAGGGCCAATAACGAGCAGTCAGATGATAACGAAAGCATGTCAGAACTCCAACTACCCGGTTATTTGAGAAGTCAAATTTAGTGCGATTACCACTGTCTTTGTTTTTGTTTAAATTTTTTCTCATAAAATTCTTTCTCCAGTTTACATAAGATTCTTTATCCAGTTAACGCTTTTTTATTTCGTGTATCTTGTATTATAACCAAATAGTTATACTCAAGGGTAAGGGATATTTCCAGGATAACGTTGGAAATTTGTGGTTTAGTTCCTTTTTTTTGGTCTGACATCTTTTTTGTGGTTTACTCGTGTACTGTGTTTGGTAGCATTCATGTTCTGATAAGTTAAATATGTTGAGTAACATACAGTGCACACAAGATGGCTGGTGTGAAACGAAGAATACATACTGATTCAGATATCTGTGCTCTTCAGAAAGAACTTGATGAGGTCTCATGCCCTATTTGCATGGACCATCCACATAATGCTGTTCTCCTTCTGTGCAGCTCACATGACAAGGGTTGTAGGTCTTACATTTGTGATACAAGTTACAGGCATTCAAACTGCCTTGACCGGTTTAGAAAATTAAAGGCTGATTCTAGGAACAGTTCATCTCTACCGCATTTTTTACCTATAAATCCTTTAAGTTCTAGTAGTAATTCTGATATGAATTCAGATTTGAGAACTGGTTCAGTCGAAGGCAACGGGAATTATAGTCAAAATCAAATTAATAATGTTGCATTGTCATCAGAACGGTCAAGAGAACATAGCATTCACCGTCAACATAGGAATTTAGAGTCACAAGGTGAAGGTATTCTTGAAAGAAGGGATTCTGAATTTAGGGAAAGGATCGAAGCTGAAAATCTACATGGAGGAAACTCATCCGAAACAAGATTGAGTTTGAAATGCCCTCTGTGCCGTGGATCAGTGCTAGGGTGGCAGGTCGTAGAAGAGGCCAGGAAGTATCTTAACCTCAAGAAACGAAGTTGCTCACGAGAATCATGCTCCTTCTATGGAAATTACCAAGAATTGCGCCGGCATGCTAGGAGAGTTCACCCAACAACCCGACCTTCAGATATTGATCCATCTAGAGAACAAGCATGGCGACGCCTTGAAAATCGGAGAGAATATGGTGATATTGTTAGTGCTATTCAGTCAGCCATGCCAGGTGCTATCGTGGTTGGGGACTATGTTATAGAAAATGAAGATAGATTTTCTGCTGAAAGGGGAAGTGGCGCAGGCAATGTCAATGCATTGACTACTTTCTTCTTGTTTCAAATGATTGGCTCATTTGACCATGCAAGTGAATCAAGGGCTCGATCAAGGGCTTGGACAAGGCATCGGCGTCCAGCAGCTTTACCTGACCGCCGATTACTTTGGGGGGGAGAACCTTTTGGGTCTACAAGACAATGAAGTCAATGATGACTTGCATATATTAAGCGATGAGAGTGAAGAGGTAGCTCCAGTCCCAAGAAGGCGTAGACGGTTGATGCGTTCAAGATCAGATGAAGATCGGTCCTGAGAGACATTGCTGCACATGCATACCTATGGTAATATTTGGTTTGTTGACAACTTTGATATATATACTGGAATTACATTTCAGATTGCCTTCAGCTGACACAGTCAGTGTTCTTCCCATTGATGTTCCTGTAAACTGCAGAAACTGCTTCCTAACAGCAGCCTTTATGCATTTTAAGATCAATTCTCATGAACCTATCAGCTCGGAAGGAGGGGAAGCAGGATACGGGCTTATCTGAAGATGCATGTCATGGTTTATATTGTACTGTTCTTTGTACGATACAGGAAGGACAGAGAAAAAAGGGGGAAGAACTGTTGTTTGTAGAAATTTCAATGCTTCTACTTTTTTTTTTTGTCTCTTAAAATGTTTGAGTTTCAATTGGAATCTGATTTGTTTTCTGGTTTTAGTGAAAGTTCATGTTTCTGAACATCTACTGCATGATGGATAATCAATTTAGTTCATCATTTCCTCTTCACTCCATCCGTGAATGAATGTTTTTTTTTTTGGTCGAGTGTCAATCTTGAAATGAGGTTGAACTTTGTTGCTTGAGTACAGGTTGAAAGAGCTCTCTGGCTGGTATGTGTTACCTGACAATGGGATTAGATTCCTTTGAATCATATCAAGTTAAACCAGATTAAGGCTACTATCATAAAGCATAAATTGTTTTGTAAAATATCTGGTTTGATGCTTTTTAACTGACATTGTCTCAATTACCTGGAGATGTATTTTATTTAAATCAGGATTTTAGCTCTTACTTTCTTTTCAGGGAATGATTCTATGGCCACTTAAATTATTCTGTTGGCTATATAATTTAACTGGGTAGATTAAATAATTTATTAATTTAAGAATCCCATACATATTTATGAAATTAATAAGTTTTTAGAAACATGGGAAAACCAATTATATAAATTAATTTTATATAAATATATATATCGCATCTGACAGATTAATGTAGGTTGTGAGAGCAGGAGATTGAGAGGGTATTCTGATAAACCCGTGGATAAATAGTTGCAGATCACATCAAAAAACATCTCGGTGTGTGTGTATATATATAGTTTGACATTACTTGTCTCTTCTAGTGTGTTCTGTACTGGATTGGGAAGGATATAATTTGCATACAGCCATTTTCTGAAGCCACATGGCTGGTTTGGTCATCACAGAAAATGGCTTTTGGGGGTATCAATGTCATTCCAGCATGTACAATTTGGAAGCCATAAATCCTGGATTAAATTCGCACCGGTACCTCAACCCATTAATTTCATCAACAAATCCACAAATAATTAAAGAGAAAACATTCTCCAACAGTTCTCTAGGTCCTTATTAGTTGACAGAGACCTCATAATCCTTCAATACTCTCTCTCTCTCTCTCTCTCTCCTTCAATACTCTCTCTCTCTCTCTCTCTATATATATATATATATATATTGCATGTCTGTACATCTATAAATATCTTTCTCACGCACATAAATACCACACTGTGATTATGATTACACCACGTCGATCTAAACCCAAGAATGGATAACAGACTGACACGTCCTCTGCTCAATCTGGATTGTTGCACCATGGACATATATATATATATATGTATATATAGTTAATATATGTTTATATTTATATTTATAGAGAAGGAAAGGTGAGGGAGACTGCGAGATCGAGAGAGAGAAGAGATTGAAAGCAAGAGTTGCATGGCAATTACGAGGGAGGTTTAATTAAAGAATATAATGTAAGTTGGAGGAGATATATATCTGGTGCCTAATATTATTATAGGCATATATATATATATATATATATATATATATACTATACTAATCAGCCCGCCTCCCATGTGACCGCAACACGTCCTTCCTCATGTTCCCAGTGCCAGTGGACACCTTAAACATCTCCTTCTTCACATGCTCAATCAACCAACAACATGCTTACCTACTATTAATTAATTAGTTAATACCTTTACACACACACACGCATATATATATATATGTACATAACATTTTGTCTGGTCTTTATATTCACTCTTCATCGTCAATATATATTGGATGAATCAGGACACGGAGATAGGGAGAGAAGACTCCGCCTGATTAAAATTGGCAGGAGTAGATATTTAGTACTAAATAATGTACATATACATATCTATATATATATATATATATATATATATATACACAGAGTGGAAGATTACAGCTCATATCTTGAGTAACATGATCACAAACGAAGTGAATGTGAGTAACATGATACTCATATTTATGGAGCAAATAATGATAGTGTTTTGTTACCATGCCAAAAAATAATAGAGTGAAAAGTATGTACGTCTCGCTAGAGCAACTAATAGTAGAATTGCTATACTTCAATCGCATACTAAACAATATCTGAATATTAAACTCTACATACATATACTACTAATATATAATTTGAACTTCGATTTTTAAAAATTTATGATTTTGATTCTGAAGATTATTGGGGTAGGAGATGAAATTGTCTGAATATTTATACAATTATGATTATTTTGATACTGACGATAATATCCCACATCTAATAACGTAGACATTGGTATAAATAATATAAATTATATATAAATTTATAGCTAGATGAGAAAAGCAAATGGTACAAAATCAACCAGCGAGGCTGAAATTTATGATGATCTTATAAAATTAAAAAGAAAATTCACATATGGTAATGGGAGAAGATATCATGGGTCAGCACGATTACCAGTAGAACCAACTGAAGATTTACAAGTGTAGGGCTAAGAGAAATGCCAACAGGGCTAAACATAGTAAAATTAATTAATGTTTTGATTAGCACCCACCACACATTAATCAATACCTTAACATATATAAATATATGTTCTTATAATAAATAAATGAATTCCCATGTTAAAGAGAATCATAGAGCCAACTCTCCCCCACTCACTGCCTGGTTGTCTCCTCCATCTTCCTTAGATTCACTCCCATTTTCTTATTCTTCTACTTCAATGGCCTAATGGTCATGTGCAGACAAGGCAACAGCACCTGTCCGTTTTGACTAAAATATTTTATTCAGCCTTTTCACCCATGCTTACTCTCCTATACTCATAAATATCAAGAAATGCAACAGGTAACCTCATCTGTTATGTAAACTCAAAAATATCACTCCTCAGCTTTATTTATATATCTATATATATATATATATGGTCTACTTCATCTTCTTATAATATATATGTAAATTATACATATAGCAGATTCTTCAGTGGCTCTTTAAGGCAGCACATGATCAAGCAAGAGACACTACTCCTTCCAATAAGGAAATTGCCAATGGTAAGAATATCACAATTTAATCTTTTTCAATCCTGGCACTAATTAAATCTACATTATTGTTGATCTTTTTAAATGTTGATTATTACAGGCCAAGAAGCTAAATCAAAAGAGATCATAAATTTGGTTAAGAATCGTAGCTGGTGTACCCGAAAACATAATAAGATCAAAGATCAAGGGAGAAATTGTGGAGTGGGTTGTAAGAATTTTAAGGTGTTCAGTTTTTTGTGTAGAAGAAATGTTGCAAAGGCTTGTTTCTACAGCACTTTGAATTTAAGAAGAGTGAACAGTTTTAGCAATAGTAATAATACTAGTAGGAAGCAGCAGCAGCAGCAGAAGATGATGATGATCCAATCTATGAAGATGAAGAAATTGGAAGAGCAGCAGAAGGTAGTTGATTCTTCTGCCACTCAAGCAGGCAACAAAGTTTTACCCGTAACAGATACGCCATTGTCATCCTCAAATGACCAGACTGAATCTGTTAAGGTCAAAGGAGACAAGACTAAAGCCATGTCTAGAATGAAGGAGATGCTGAGATGGGTTGCCGCTGCAAAATCTGATAAAGGAAAGAAATTCTTGATCGGTAGAAAGGTAAAAGAAAAAGTTACCACCCATGATTTTGTGAGTTGGGGATTAGATATTTTCTTATTAATTGATCTTGATCTTGAGTAAACGAGTACCATTAGATTAGAGTAGTGTAGTAACTTATAGCATCCAATTATATAGATATATAACTATCACAGCCATTAATATGTATATATAGGTTATGCACCTGAGAAACCGGGGAAGCTTAAAGGGAGCAGTGACAGGTGATGATGATCAACTTAGCTTTGAATCTCCTAAGATCAGCTTCAGATGGGAAGTTGAAAGCTCATATTCTACCACTACTTGCTCTGGAATTTCAATGGCTTCTTCTTCTTCCAAGAATGATATCTCTCTCGGTTCCACTCCAATCCATGACATTAATCCCTCCCGCGCTGACAGAAAAGGAAACTGGATCACTACAGACTCTGAATGTAATAAACGTGATATACATTCGTTTTCTTATGACATAATCTTGCCTCATCTAATTTATATATAAATGCTTTAAATATAAAGTTGTTGGTCTTTTGTTTTTGGTACAGTTGTGGTGCTAGAACTATGAAGAGAAGACCCATGAAGCTGCTAGGACTGTGTAAGGAAGATTGGTAGAATTTTTTTTTTTTTTCCCCCAAAAAAATTTTTATTTTTCTTTTGAAATTTCTGATTTTTTAGTGAGGAATTAGTGTAATTAATTAATGATTAAAACTGTAACGTCATTATCTAATATTGCATTTAACTTTTAAATCAGATGATACTTTCATTTTTATATTTTTGTAAAAATTGAAGATTCGATTTTTATTTATTATAAAATATTACGAATAATTATGAACATAAATAACTTTAATTTTAACTTTGTTGTTATATATCATTATTTGGGGATGTAATAATTATTTATTTTATGAAATAAATATAGTATTATATTTAATAATTTGATTAAGAAATTTAAAGTGATTATTAAAATTATGAAGTTAATATTTATTTAATTATTAATCAAAGAGAAATTTTACATAAATCACATTTCTATTTTGATAAGATAATTTTTTGAGAATTAATATGTTAAAAATAATTGATATTTATAAAATTTATAGTATAGATTTCGACCAAATAATTCACTCTAATATAATTTTTTCGTCTGAATTGAAAAAAACGTAACCAAAAAAAAAAAAAGAGAATTCAACTTGGAGAACAATTTAAATAGTTAAAATTTACTATTTTAATTTTGAAATTTAACATTTTAATTTTTTCTTTTTATGGAAAATAAAAAAATTAAAGAAGTTTACCATTTTAATTATGGTTAGTAGTTCAAAGTAAGAAGTTATGAGGCAAATTAAATGTCCCGTTCCGGTTTATTGAACTTGGGCTTGAAGTAAGCCCAACACGCTTTTCTTTCTGTTAAAAATAACCTAACAAAATCAACGACTCAGACGAATCGTCAGCGGTTATTGAGGGGATACATGAATTAATCTCCACCATTCGTGATAAACACGGGCCTTACTAAAGCGTGGAGATGAATATTCCGTAGGCATAAACCCTGCAAACCAATGGAGTCGGAGATAAAAGAGAAAACAATGCGATGCGAGTGATAGGTCTGTTAAAGGCATAATCTCACTTCTCCGCAGTCGATTTTTTTATTTTCATTTTTACTCTCTACCCTCAGCTTCTCTTCGCCTTCCTTTTTCTCTTTCTCTCTGTAACCGCTAGGGTTTACTTAGGGTTTCTCTTCTATCTCTTCATCTACTACTTCTCTTCACAGGCTAAGGTTTTGATCCGTAGCCATGGATAGATACCAGAGGGTTGAGAAACCTAAGCCTGAATCCCCAATAAACGAGAACGAGATCCGTATTACCACACAAGGCCTCATCCGGAACTACATCACCTACGCCACCACTTTGCTTCAGGTACCTATTTATTCTCCCGCTCTGTTTCTCCTTCCCGCGCTGCGTATGTTATATATGTTGCCTGATTTCTTGGTATGTTTTAGAGATTGAATACGGTGTATGCTTTTTCTTTTTTGGTATGGGAGCCGGTTCTGTGTATAGCATTTTGGACGTATTGTTGTGATAGCATACTAGGGTTATGTGTTTTTTGAATTTATTATGGGGTTTATCGTTTTTACAGCTCGGTTATTTATGTTAGATTAACACGGTTCTAGGGTTGCTACAGTTTTTGTAATTCATGATTTTTTTATTCATTGTTGTTGTTAATTGTTTTCTGCGCTTCATGCAATTTCTAGGTGGCAGAGGTTCTTCCTTGTTATTGCGGGAGTTTTTTTATTCCTAAAATTTTTTTGTAACTTCTATGGTGTCCGATTCTAGTAAACTTTATGTCCTACCTTTTCTATCCTGCTTTTAATGAACGTGATGGTTGTTTGTGCTATGTATCAAGTACTGGGTTCATCTAGGTATTTTTTCTTTCTTATGTTAATCTTTGCTTGATATTCACTATATAACATTTTCATTTGGATGGTTCACATTTTACTTTGAATTTATGCATTAGTGTTTCTGACGGTTTCTTCTATTGTTATCTTTTCTTTTTTCAAGTAAATTTTTTTAATGGTTTTGGTGAACTTTTGTTGTTTTTGAGTTTATGATATAATAATCTACATATTTGATTCAAAAATAGTAAATAAAGGATACTATTCTTCTTTTGTTCCCCTGTGCTGTATTTGTTTTAAATGCATCTCTAAGGCCTCTAATATTCAGTTATTCTGGAGAATCTACTGTCTGTTGCACACGGTTTTTTTTTTTTTTCATTTCTACCGTTGCCTAAAATACTTGTTAAACGTATACTCGTTTTGCTAAGGATGCTTGATTATCAAAGTAGCTTTCTTCCTGAGCTGTATCTACAATAACAATTGCACATAGTTGGTCTCAATAGAAGAACTCTGCAATCAGGTGTAGTTTTGTGATTGTGACTATATTGCACAAATGTGAGCCATTCTTCGGTTATCAAGCTAAGAAATGTGGACGAGAGGAGATTAACTAGTATGCAAATGTTATGGTTCTTGACTGTATTTATGCTAATTCAGCTGGTTCACTGCCAATAAAAATTTGAGAACCATGAACTTTGCTTGCGTTCACTTGCTCTTAGGTGAAGGAATGTCTGTTCTTTCTTACAATCCTATGTTTAGCTGATGCTTTCATTGCAAAACAGATCAACTAATTTTTTTTGGGAACATTATTGTTCAGAAATTTGGATGGTCCTTTCTTCCATCAAAGAGTTATCAAGGAAACTGAGGTTTTTTCAGTTAAAAATTAAATAAAAACTCTGATTTTTTATACAAATAAAAAACATCAATCCACCATTCTAATGCTTTTCATTTTGGTAGGTTTAATATTCATCACCGCTTTTGCTTTAGTTTCTGACCTGACTTATATGTTGGAAGCCTGTAATCTGTTTTCATCCTCTGCCCATACTTTAATAGGATCATATGCTATCCTTTTGGGCATTTGTATTGCCATCATTTTTATTAAGACAGCACTTGGTATTATTTGTTTTTTTTTTTTTTCATATGCTCAAATTTCCCAACTGTTCTCAGATGAAAAATTACCTATGTATTTGGCATGTTTGCTGGTCTTGCATTATTAAACAATCAGATGTGTATTTTGGCATGCATTACCACATATCTGCACTTTGTTGTATGGTTTCTTGGTCATTTATCACCATGGTGTTTCGGTGCTTATTATGTGATGTAGTTAGAAAATAACCAGCTTTTTAAATAACGTATTGTTTGTTTTAACGTGCTGTAGGAGAAACGTGTCAAAGAGATTGTGTTGAAGGCAATGGGTCAGGCAATCAGCAAAACAGTTGCCATTGCAGAGATTATAAAGGTGGGTAAGCATTTCAAGATGTTTCATGAGTTAATTTTGTGCCTGTGGAGCTCTAAATGACTAAAAATTTATATCATGAAACAGAAAAGAATTCCTCGGTTGCATCAAGATACTGCCATCAGCTCTGTGAGTATAACTGATGTATGGGAACCA